TTTTAAATGGCTAGTGTATATATGATTGTGTGGCAGGTGTGTGTTTATGAGATAATAGCTTTGTTTTCAATGTATTTAATAATTTTTAAATCGTACTATGTTGATGACCTCGGATTTGTTGGGTGCCATTAAATAGAATGCTGTAATACTATTTTGAAAGACAATAGCATGTCATTTATTTTTTAAGTATAGAATTTCTACTTCTAAAACTTTTTGGAATACAGATATAACTATCAATTCATGATTCAGATATAAAAAAATTGAAGTAAAATTATGTGTCACTTTTATATCTGGGATGAAAACTCTTGGGAAATTAACCTATAATGTTGGTAACAAATGAACATGTATTGAAGTTATTATTGAGCAATAGATCTGTACTTCAGCCCTTCCAAAAATGAAGCTATATTTTGCTTTTGTATGTATATATATATGTAGTGTTTTTTTTAAAGTAGTAGTCACAAATTCAATGTCCTTTCTATAATTATACAGTAATACAGAAAACAAGTTACCTACAAAAATTAATATAGCAAGATATAATCTGAATTACAGGCAAGCATTTGGGCATGGAAGCAAATATTTGAATAAAATATTGGGAATAATTGGTTGTCTTTTCATGAGCTTTCCCCCCGTCATGTGAAAGTGGACATAGGCAAGTGGGTATATTGCTTCTCGTCATGCCATGAAATTGACTGTGCTCTTTTCCTTGCTCAGGTTTACGATGCTGCAGTCAGGTGGCTGAAATATGATGAGCCTAATCGCCAGCCTTTTATGGTTGATATCCTTGCTAAAGTCAGATTTCCTCTTATCTCAAAAAATTTCTTAAGTAAAACTGTGCAAGCAGAGCCACTTATTCAAGACAATCCTGAATGTCTTAAGATGGTGATAAGTAAGTTGACTTTATCTTTATAGAACCTGATCATGGAACCGTTTCTCATGGGCTGTAACACTCTTTAGACTGGGTCATACAAGTGACACTCAAGCCTTTGCTCCTTAAGAAGTCTCAGGTCTTACTTTTGGAGGGCTGTACTTTGTTGCACCTGTCGGCTTCAAAAAATTTTGTATCGTTAGGTTACTGTGATCACATTTTCTTTCCTATTGGGGTGGGGGCGGGAGTTGTGGTTTTATTTTTGGTTTGGCTTTATTGTTTTCATTTCTTGTTTTTCTTGACTTACAGATTAAGTTCCATCCTTGGTAAAATACCACTTGATATAATTATCCATACAATTAAGCAAACAGTTGCTTTTATTTTATTCTTGGGAAACATTCATTGGAGAGCCTTGGCCTCGTCAAATACAGACCATTAGTGAAGTGGGCCTGAAAGACCTAGTCCTCCCGGTGCCCTTCTTGTCATCCTGGGAATCCTTTCACTCCTCTCGCGTTTCAGAGACACTGATTTTCCGGGACGCCAACTCTTTCTCTTTCTTTCCTTATCCTGTTTTTTTGTTTTGTTTTTTTTTTAAACTTTTTATTAGGGGCTCATACAACTGTTATCCCAATCCATACACACATCAATTGTGTAAAGCGCGTTTGTACATCGTTTCTTAAAAGATTTTCTCTCCACTTAAACCCCCGACATTAGGTCCTCCTTTTTCCCCTCCCTCCCCGCTCCCCCCTCCC